TGCCTTGGGCAACAGAGATCTTTGGATATGACACATCATCGTATTCTTCATAAACCGCTTCGATCGCGTTGAATAGAGTCAAGTGCTTCTCGGCTTCTTCCGCGGATCCACGATAGGCAAAAGTCCAGAAGATGACCGGTTCCTTATCGGTTATTGTCGTGTTCATTTGGAAGTTTCCGAAGTTGAAAGCCATATTTACGGGTGTCGTGCCGTTACCGTGGAAAATATTAAGAGCTTTAAAAATTTCTTCAAGCTTGTCGCCTCGCCAGATGTAGTTATGATAGTGCCATGTCTCCGGGCCTCGGGGGAAGATATTCATCTCAAAGCTCGTAACAATACCAAAATTGTGGCCTGCGCCCTTCATTCCCCATAGAAGATCACTGTATTTATTGGAATTGACACAAATAGCACTGCCGTTAGCCAAAACAACATTGAGCTGAAGGATATTGTCGCTAATCATGCCATGAGCACCCTCGTGTCTCCCGTGTCCGCCGCCAAGACCTGGACCCCTTTTATTTGAAGTTTGTAAGTATTTATCGCCTAATGATAAGGGATGATAAAAAGGACAACGTACATCATACCCACGCAATCGCAGGATCCAGTGGTAGTAACATATCCTCGGTCCCAAAGGTAAGTCGTGGCTTGACCATCGTAGACGCCACCTTGAAACCAAGCAGATTTACCGCTAGGTTGAATGTCAATATTCCTAAGATTCTTCATGTTGATCTGAACACCGTTGAAGGAACCAAGACTTTGGGTGTCACCATGAGCACGGTTTACAGTCAGGAAGTCGAGACTGTTTTCATTACAGTATGTGACCTTGGGTCATTGTCAGCTAACAGGACTCATACAATAATACTTATAACACTTACAATAGTTGATATATCAGATTCCTCGCCAGGCTCAATCACAACTTGAATATTAGGCACTGCAAAGATATTCCACCTTGTAGTAGCCTCAGTGAAGCGATCGTCATCTGGTCCGAAGATGGAAGTGGTGTTTGAGAGCTCACTACCAAGCTCCTGCTGAACCTGTGTAGCATTTAACTGGCGCCGGGTAAAGGCGGACGGTTGAAAGTATCTAGGAATGCTCGCGCCAGTCGCGAGGGTCCCAAAAAGGGCGAGGCTACACACGAGGGAAACAAACTTCTTCATTGTGAGAACCATGAGCAGGCACACCTATTAAGATAGTGGTGAGAATGTGTGAGTGCAATCGAAATTTACCGAAGAGGTTTGTACGGAATTATATATTTCAATATCTCCTAAGTCTATCTCCTAAGTCCTAAAAGTTTGTATACGTGAAGCATGGCAATGTTCTAATCAAAAACAAACTAACAAGGTAAGTATGCAAATCTGAGTACCTTCTGACTTATTGAAAAGTCGTTATATCACATCAGCATCAATGTCCATAACCGCAAGGGTTGTTTTGACCCTGACAACCGACATCACCAAATAGACAAGAATCCTATTTCAGGGGTCCATGCTCTCTCTGCCTGGGTAGGCATATACAAGTATTTCTCTGGGGCTGAAATGTGATTGAATTTTTGATTGACCAGCCTTGAGGGTTCAGGTCAACGTGACATATCACTAAGTGGTCAGAACCTTGAAGTAGCTAAGCATGAGATATACTGCATGCGCTGCGACTGGAGGCTGTATCACAGCCACAAAATATAGTAACGTTCCATTTAGGTCGTGCAAATCAATTCTGTTAGGACTTTTGACTGATTAGTATAATACTTACCGAATGAATAACTTGTTCTGTTGAGTTAATTAAGGTCTCTATGATATCCCCAAGTATTTCTACCTTAGGTAGTCTTACCAAACCTTAGCCCAATGAATTTGGTAATCTGGTATAGGATTCGGCTAGGTATCATCACGAGAAAGTAAGCAGCCGCTTACTCCCTTCCTTCGGGCGTTGGCTCCAGGGGCCGCTGGCTAGACGTTGGTATGTTAAATTCGCTCATATCACTTAAGATGACAGGTAGCCACCCCCGGCCAACTCTTCTTCCATCTAGATACACCCGCTTATTTGAGTAAGAGTCACATTAACACGCCGCTTACTCGAGTAAGATTCGCACTACGGTAGTACGCTTACTTCAGTAAGATTTACGTTGAATTTACAAGGCTGCTTATATCCGATAAGGAAGAAACTATCGGACCAACTCGCCTTGTTCTAATACTATAGCAATTCTACAGTCCCATGACCTAAGCTGGCAACGGAGGACGTAATTATCTGTTTCGTAGTCTTCGGGTATGAATTGCCTGGATATACGGTTAACTATGCTCATATTAGGACTTAATATGCAATTTGGACTCCAATACTCTAAACGAGACCCTTAAGCCAGGACCATTAGCCATTAGTAACAACGGCATATAGACATAATGCTTCTACATCCCCATGACACATGTATACACCCCACTTATATTAGCAAATCAGAACTCAAACAAGATCCAAAATATACCACCTTAGGAATGGTGGAGAAAGACTCAACCAATCACATTTAAATGGGCAATGTACCGTATTATGTTGGTATCCGATGGACAACCATAGTTAGGTTCTTATCACATCAACTGCTACCTATCTTCGTTATCTATATTATTTTATATATGCATTAGGTACTTACTACCATAACGCGTGCTTAGCATCGCGTACAATTCAGACGCAACAAGATCGCGTTTTAGAGATGATCTCAGCATGATCAAAGAAGCTAGCACGACGGGAGAGTTTTGCGTCTGGTGTGCTAAGTAGGTGATAAAGATGAACTCACTCATCTGTCAGACCTTTATTCGGCCCTTCTCCAAGCCCTAGATTCTTATTGCTGACTTTCGTGAGTAGAAGGATATTCTAATGCTTCTCGAAGACTTTGATACATAAGTCATCTTTCTTCTCGGATAGGATGGCCCATGACGGGCGACAAGTAGATCTTCTAAGCAAGCCAACCGCTTCTGATGTATGCTTCAATACCTGTGATTAGCTAATCTGTTTTTCAACTGTTCTAATTGTCAATCTCTTAAAACACCCTTATGATGCCCTAGAAATTGTAGAAAAGACGATTAATTTGAAACCTGCAAGCCTAGTAGAAGTTGAAGACATCGTGGCATAAGGGAATATTTAGCGAGAAAAGTGCATTGTGAAAGAACAGGTCTCAATTAGGCAATAAAGGAAGACCAAGGTCTTCGTTTTGAAAGCATCGTATTTCGAGATGGACTGCGATCCCTTTATAAGTGCTATAGCCATGATTATCTGTCCTCATAGTCAGGGATTGGAAATTGGCGATTAATGGAGATACCTTGAATTATCAACGGGAAATCATCTTGTTGATGATTCTATGTCGTTAGGTATTCATCTCATGTCCCATGACTACGGTTGTTGGGGTAAAAGGAGGCTGTGGAGTTATGTGCCTTATCCAAATGCCTCCATCGATAGAGTCTCATGCCCGAACAGGGTTTCACGAGCAACTAATCTGTCGGCCGAATGTATTGTTATCAACATATGCGATTAATTCGAAGTCTACTCAGCCTGAGGTACCTGATGATTTGTATATTAGGAGGGAGGTAAGACACATTTGCTTATCTCCTAACACCTACGCCCGAGTTTATCCTATACCCTGTTATATGATGACCATTATAAGTAATCTACATTTCAGCTCACTTCATATATACCTCGAGAAGGCCTAGATGTCCGCTATGAAAGACATTGCAGATCCCATACCTAGGATCCGCTTCCTTCAATAACGCCTCAAACTCGATCTAGATGTATTGCTTAACACGAGAGTCAACTAATATGACCATGTTTACCTGTCGTACAACTCGCTCTTGGTGGCGTGGCCAGGTACCTGGCTCTGTAATAATGCTATTGTTGATGAGTAAGGATGTATTTGCGCTGCTATTTCTAGGCTAGAAATGAACGACGTGAAGATTGTGACTATATCGTAAGCAAGAAAGCAGCCGCGTCTTTAGGAAATTTGCTTCGGATTAAAGAAGCTGTATTGCAAATATTCCAACGCCTGTCGGGTGACAAATGGGTTTGGATTCTAGTGTGCTTCGAATGGATTTGCCTTAAGACTAACATTGCAATCGGTAGCCACTTTCAACATCCCGGGATTTCTTCATGGGCTGGTATTAACCAGAAAAATTCCAAGTCCAATGCAATTTAGAGCGCACCCAAGTCGAAACCGGTGCAGCAGAAGCTCTCAATCACTTTCTCGGGCTATCGATCAGACGTAGAAGTTCTTCTAAAAAGGTTAGGGCAGTATGAAGAGAGCGGCATTCCGAAGTTTCAGGCGTATCTTGAGAATTGGGCACAATGTAGGCTCGGCGAACCTATTCTACGGGAAACACTGAGTCATATTCCAGGCGAGCTCAAGTATGTTCTAGCGATAGCGGAGTGTCCTAAGCATTTGAATCGGCTTTTTTTTATTCATGATTGTTGGCTAGGTAGTACAGCGAGTCTTTAGTGATGGGAATGGTAAAATATAGGTAATATTTGATACCTCAAGGAACTAAGATGGAAACTGGAAAATATTATGACTATATTTTGACATGAGCTAGGAGAAATCCCGCCGTGATTCTCTTCGGGATCCCCTAACGACATTAAGCATTTATATTCTTCATCCTTCACATTCTATGTCGATATTTGCTCCTATCCTATTCCTAATCCTAGCCTTGCTACTACTTTAGGTAAGTAGTAAACGACACTTAATTACCAAGTTTTCAACTTTAAATCATCAATCAGTTTTTCACAATCATGAAGCGATGATTTCGCGGGGGAATTTCGGTGTTATTAAACTTCTAATAAACATAACCAGCAGCTCCTGTAAGTCAAGGCCTTCAAATATGTAATACCTAGGTAGTTAAAGAGTGATGGGGAAATAGCCCATAGTATGTTCTTTAAAGGAGAAAGACGATAAAGAGAAGTACAAGCACCAAATAATGGCTAGAGAAAACAAAACCAAGATGGATTTTCGGATTATATATATGATATCTTCGACGAAAAGAAATGGCATATTGTACTCAAGGGAGTTGTGCTATTGCTTCGTCCTGTGCCCAGCTAACCAACGTACTGAGTGGCTGCCCCCCATTCCTTATCCTGCCTCAGGCCTTCTAAGTCCCTCTCGCTTAAGCATACTATAACAGGCAAGTATTGGGACTCATCTTCGGGTGGTAAAACATACATGACACCGCCAAAAGGAGCCAGATTAGGTCGCCGCATCAACGTGGGCTTACCCAAAACGCCAAAATCGACTAAGCCGGTCACCAGCTGGGAAACAGACGAGGATCCAACATCAAGAGCCGGGTTGAGGCCACCGCCATATACTAGTTCCCCCTTATCAGCAACACCAGCCACAAAGGTAGCATAACTGCGCACCGCCCACTCGTTAGCCGACTGGTTGAGTTCAGCTCTTAGGCGTGATGCTATAGTCGATAATGTCAATTCCGGCGACGCTAAGTCTCGGTATGAGAATCGCGTGATAGCGTGGTGAATCATTTGCCCCATATATCCCGGTGGGCAGCCGACAGCGGCGCGGACGTCGATAGCTCGCGCGAATTTGGACACGGATGAAGGAGCCACACTACCGTTAGCGACGCGCACGGCGGCCAGTCGCTTCCAATATAATGCGCAAAGCGCGTCATTGCTGGATATGTAGGTCACCGAACTATCAAATTCATCTTTGATCGATGCGGCTGCCTTAATCTTAGGCATGGCCTTCTGGAAAACCCGGAAGCACGCCCATTTTAGAGGCGAAGCTGGAAGTTTTAACGGTGGCGCAGGCGTAGGAGTAAACGCTGACTTCAGGAGGTAGCTATGGTCGCGAATTGGTTGTCCGGGATCTAGAAGAGGAATGACCTTGGTTCGGTCTATGTTGGCCTGGTCGACATAAGCCTGTGGAATGTCTTTGCCCTGCATTGCTATTGCAAGTAAAGAATTGAAGACGAATACCCCACTCGTATCTACCATATTATGCTGGTTGGAGATGTTAAGGATCACACCACCCTTAATGAAGCTTGCTTGGACCGCCACTACAGGTGCAAACCCCATCTTCTCGACATCATACCCCATGGGGAAGCCAGGGAAAGGGCATAGAATATTGCCATCGAGTGAGGAGAGAGGGCCTCCTCGCTGTATTATATCCTCGTAAGAAGGGCAGAGATTTGTACAGTCCCTCACATACAGGATATCGCCACCAGAAATGCCTGAGGGTAATGGTCGTGTTCTGATTATGCCCGAATTACCGAGCCCTTGTCCTTCGTGGACCACCTGTTCGCCAAGCCAGGGAATCTTAGAAATGATTTGGCTTATTGCATCTTTCAGCGCAGCAACGACGGAATCCTGAGATACCCCCGGATTCAAAGGGAAAATAGCTAAGGCATGACTATATGTCTTGAGCTGAGGGAACTGGCCGATAACGTCTTGAAAGCGGCTTGACGTATCGCTTATGGCGTGGGCGTCTCCTAACCCCAGAGCGGATTGCGGTAGAATAGGTCCAGACTGCATAGTGAGTTTAGATATTTCAAAATAGTGTCGATACGGGTATATTGAAGCGCATTGTATCTTAGATTCCTTTCACACATAAATCCATTATCATTGAACAGTCTTATATACTATACATCACCTATATATATAATCTACCACCCGTTCTAACATCGTTCGATTCACCCAGCGCGAGAAATAAAGAAATAACTCCGGGGCCAATCCTCACTACCATAGAAACTGTATGTTATACCACACGGGAACTCCCGCAAAGTAAATTTGTCGAACGACGAGCTTTCTCAATGAATCCTGTTCCAGTAGAGTTCCACATATCAAAAGCTCCTCGGACATAACTTATCTATGCCATCATTAGATAAGACACACTTCTCATAAAAGCATTGTTCTTAGATCTCCGTGATAACATCTTCCGCTGAGAAAAGTGAATTAATAGTCCGAATGTCCATGGATGCTACTCTCTTCGATAGCGACACCATAAGTCTCGCATTTGCTGTGGAGGTATTGACCACAACATCGATTTCCTACCACTCTTAGCCACGTACGTTTCGTGAACTGAAAATGGCTTTAATTTCCCCTTAATGCGGAGCGAGTCATAGAGACGTCTAGTCCTCAAGTTCGTAGAAGCCGTCGCCAGATCCCGACGTGAAATAATAATGGCGTGCATTACTACGGAGATAGATCCGAGTGGGAGGGTGACGTGTAAAATATATAGATGACAGAGCCGTTTCTATATAAGGTATGTGATGTGCGTAATAGAGGTGGTCCCTGTGCTGATGTCTGGAGGTGACTTCGTAACGGAAACTAGCATTTGCTTATCATACCATGGCACTTCCATTGTGCTTCATAATGATTTTCGATTTAAAATAGTATCATATCAAATGCATAACGTCCCCATCGGACATTGCGGTATGAGCTTTCTGTTGAGATACACGTCACTTCGCTTGATAGCCATGTCTGTGTGGTCAGAGGCGTGATATACACTTCGGCTTACTACTACAGTCCCAGTGCTAGCTTGATAGCGTAGATGTTCCTATTCATGTAGTTAGGACTATCGATGAAATGATCATGATATTATAATGAAGATTCATCCCAAGAATACCGGGTGTAAATAACGTGACACTGTCCAGATCATTACAGTGATCGGTGACAACAGTCATATCGGATAATCTACCTACTTGAGTAACATAACTCAAAAACTATGGAGATCACGGAGAGGTTTAGATACAAACTCCGGAAACCCTACCACCAGGCTTGCGGCTTTACATAACATTGGCGAGATGGGATTCATCGGGGTAGGACGTAGATTATGAAAGGGACATGCTATTGGTGAATGAGCTAAACTGATATATTAAAAGGCCATCCCGGAGTTGCATCAAATTCGTTAACGACTTCCGTGCAACAAAGTAAGGATATACCACAACCCCAACGACTCGTCGGCATCATGAATTGCTCCTTCTTCCTAGGATCGTCGTACATGTATTAATCCGGATACTCACATAACTGGACACCAACACAGAACCATGTGCAAAGTACCCGGCCTACCTCCTTAGCAAAACAGATCCACCTGGATAACTCGGCAGAGTCATGATTTTCTCTGTAAGCTTCTCTATCCAGAATTACCCCTTTCCATATTTTTCATGTTCAAGGCATTACCAAGAAAAAAAAGCAGAAAATTAGCGGGCGTATCTTAGGTAGTTTCTCAATAATAGGTATGAATTGGGAGTTGAGACAGTCCCGTACTGATCCAAGATAGGTACACCGGGATTTACTACCTTACTCCTTAGTAAATGCAATGGACCCCCCAGCACCGAACGATGGACCCGGTGGTAATTTCGAAGAAAGCAAGCCAATATCTGACATCTCGCAACAAATAACAACTACAATTACCACGATAGCACTAGATGATGAAGCGCCTCGGACACACGAAGAGGGTCCACATGAGAAGAATTCACCCAACGAGGCATCCAACGAAGAAAAGGTTCCCAGTATAGCATCACAGGAAAAACCACCTTCAAATAAGAAGTTTGAAGAACAAACTTCTACTGACTTAGGACCCGGGAAACATGAGTCGACCGCAGAAAGGCTACAACCAGAGGGAGAGGCAAAAGAAGATGCTCATGATGAATATATCCAGGGTCCCAAGTTGTATTTGGTAATGTTGTCAACCACAATGGTTTACTTCCTCATCATGCTAGACAATACCATCCTAGCAACCGTACGCAATACTTCATTCCCTAACGCAAACCACCCGTGTTGACTAACCTCGACAGGCAATTCCCTATATCACCGACGAATTCCATTCCTTACTAGACGTTGGGTGGTACGGTAGCGCATACCAGTTATCCTGTTCGGCACTACAGCCATTTGGAGGAAAGATATACTCGAAGTTTAACTCGAAGGTAAGTCTATTACCGGACGGATGGACCGTTTAAAAGGCCCCTAACTAATATTCTTCCTGGAGTGGTCTTTTATTATCTACCTCATCCTCTTCGAGGCCGGCTCCGCCGTATGTGGTGCCGCTTCGTCCTCAGCCATGCTTATCGGAGGGAGGGCGGTTGCTGGAGTGGGTGGCTCGGGTCTACTCAACGGAACGCTTATTATCATGAACTCTTGCATTCCACCTCACCGTCAACAAGGTAAGAGGTATTTTAAATAATTCCGGGTTCATCTTTTAGAGATATTGGTTAACAACTCTTGAAGCTCTGGTCGGGTCCCTGATGAGTAGTAGGTATATTCGATCCTGATTCATAGGGTTAACTAATTAAATGTTCCTAGTTGGCCAGTTAGGTATCGCATTTGGTCCACTCATCGGAGGCGCTTTTACAGAATACGTAACCTGGAGATGGTGTAAGCCATGGCCCATCCTCATGCTAATACTGCTTTTATCATTATTAATACATCCAGGTTTCTATCTCAATCTCCCAATTGGCGGCGCCGTAGCCCTTATAATCGCCTTTATTCAAATTCCAGACCATATTGCGAAACCAAAGATGCGAGACGTCTTCAAAAATGCAATTGTAGACTTCGACCTGCTGGGGTTTGTGCTTTTCGCGCCATCCGTCATCATGTTGCTCCTCGCGCTACAATATGGTGGGAATCAGTACCGGTGGGATAGCTCACAGGTCATTGGTCTTTTCTGCGGCTCGGGCGCTAATTTCATCGTATGGTTGATCTGGGACTGGTACCAGGGTGCCACCGCCATGGTCCCGCTCTCGATGATCAGAAAGCGTGTCATGTGGGCTAGCTCCGTGTCCGGTTTGTTCTTGAGCGGGACAATGTTCATTACGGCATACTATCTGCCTATTTACTTCCAGACCGTTCGCGCCGCTACGCCCTTTATGAGCGGCGTGGATGTCCTCCCTAACATTCTGTCACAGATGATCTTTGGAATCATAGCAGGGGGCTTGGGTAAGCAAAATATTCAAAACAACAATAAACTAATCATTAACTAAAATCCAGTTCAGAGGGTTGGATACTACTCCCCATTCGTCATCCTAGGTGCTATTCTTAACGCTACCGGGTGCGGTCTTTTAAGTCTTCTCTCACCACACACGTCTACGGGAATTTGGATCGGATATCAGATTATATTTGGTATTGGTCGAGGTCTTGCTATGTCAATAGTATGTTCAGAAATTGTTCAAGCCCTAGGAAAGTTAGGAGACTGATATCTTTACACGGCTCTAGCCATTTCTTGCTGTGCAGAATCACCTTCCGAGACACATGATTCCAGCATCTATGTCGACGCTTGTATTTCTACAGAATCTAAGTGCAGCCGTTATGACCGTCATCTCGCAGACTATTCTCACTAACAGCTTAATTGACATTATTCCGCAGGACGCACCCGGGGTTAATCCCCAGGTTGTTATTAGCGCTGGTACAACGGCAGCAGCACTGGCTCAGGCCGTAGGCCAAGAACAGTTACCCGGTGTCTTGTTGGCTTACTCACATGCTTTGCGACGAATCTGGTACTTCGCTGCTGGCATTGCCGTACCCACGTTTATTGCTGGCTGGTACTTGGGTTGGGATAATATCAGAGAGAAGGTCAAACGGGACAAGGAAGCTGAGATATCGAACGAGTGATTTAGGTATTCGGATATCCGGTTATCTTGAAGCATTCTAGGTATGATGTGAAATGTTTTGACAATGCTAATTTAAATATAAGATGTTAGTGCGTTGAGTGATAAGTAAATGTTTATATTAAATATAGAGTTGTCCTTTCTATTATTAGTGATTATTATGAAGGACTGGACCGAACCGTATGTATTTAAACGTCTTCCTAAGTAAGACAGTATATCTAATTTCAACTCACACTTGGTACCTAGTACAAGAGCCACATGGTACACCCTAAATTTAGGGGTTACAGCAATAAAATTAACTCTGAATAGCTTCATTTTGTTGGTCATACGCCAATTCCCACCAATTGTGAGATGTACCTTAGTACATCTCAACACGTGACTGCTCGTCACGTGTCATTCAGACATTCAGATTCATCTTGAGTGTTTGTAAAAAAATAATAATGTTTCATTTTATTAGTTAGTTCAATAGATCAATTTATCTAACACCAATCCACGAATGTACACACACTCGAGCCAGTGGGTGTATCACTTTAGCCACCCCGTTAATACAGTCAATCAGATGACTATTACACAATATATCGCGAGTCCAATATCACAATCCGCCTTCATATAGTAACTACAACTTTCGCAGCCGAAACACCTCTCATATTTATATCCAACGCATCCTGAATATGTTCCAAGCCCTTTCCTACAACCTGCGGCTCCGGCTTTGCCTTGTATTGCCCACTGGCAAGCGCAACAGGCAAAAAGTCATTGTAGATCATCCCGCCGACTTCATTTGCCATAAGGTCGGTGCCCCAGATAAACTTCACCGACACACCCTTTATCTTTGCGTGGAAAGTCCTGGAGACGTTCCACCATATATAACCCGTCATGACACCAACTAGGCCCGCGATATTCCCCGGTACCTTCGCCGCATCGAGAGGAATGCTTGCTTGCGCAACGAACTTGCGGCCGGGGACCGCGGCCACGATGTCGATACAGGCCTCAAGCGACCCCTTACCGATAGCGATGGCACCTGCACAATTCTTATTCTTTAGCGCAGCTATCATAGCACTGGGAGTGTTTGGGTCGTTGTAGTCGAAGACCTGTGATGCTCCTAGTTCACTCACATACTCAAAGTTTTTAGGTGACGCTGTTGTGAGGACCTCGTATCCAGCGGCCTTTGCGAGCTGGATAGCGTTGGTGCCAACGCTGGTCGAGCCACCCCATACGATGAATGCAGTTGGCGGCGTCTGGTCGCTAGGGTATTCATACGACGATGTAGGGTATCTCAGTGCGGCGTAATCCTTCATGAAAAGGCCACAGGAGGCTGTGGAAATGCCCATGGGTAGGACACAGGCCTTCTCGTATGATAGATCGTCCGGAATCTTTGCAGCTAAATGGCTCCGGAGTACGGTGTATTCTTGGAATGCGCCTTCTGATGGTTTAGATGATCGTTTATCGAGGCCAACAGCATGGCCTACGACTCGGTCGCCGAGTTTAAACAGCTGGGCTGCCTTGCCCCCCGTTCCAACCTCAACGACCTCGCCAGCTACATCGCTTCCGAGGACTATCGGGTATTTAAGCCAGCCGAACAGGTGGTCACCACCGCACTGCTTGCCGTAGTCTATTGGATTGACGGCAATAGCACCGTTCTTGACAACAATCTCGTCAGGCCCGGGGGCCGTATACGGTGCAGATTTAACTTCAAGTGGTCTGGCGCGTGAGTTCACGAGATACGCGGCGTGGTTTTCAGGAGGCATCGTGTACGTGTATTGTATGGGAATAGACCATATTTCAGCTAGCTGAGCTTAGGAGTTTGGCGTGGAATATTGAAGGGGGAGTCCAAGTTACACACTACGGACCTGAACATGTTTCCCTTAGGTACCTCTTAGATCCGAAGGGGTTGGTTACCTAGGATCCCTAGTGGTTTCAAGCAAGACAAAGAGGTTCTAACGACGAATCAACAGTACTCCTGCACTCATTTGTTTGCTGCAGCGCGATAATAGCCGTATACGCCATGTACCTATGTCAATCATTAAACAATTTCGTAGCTAATATTCTTGTACCCCTCGGGGACCCAAACGAGGGGTTTATAAACTAGGTAGTGTCGCTTGTTACTAACCGTTTTAATCTAGATCTATGTGATCTGATACCATAGGTGGTTTATTTAAAAATTAATCTTAAAATTATACAATTTTAAGGGAAATTATTTGAATGTTATTTTTTGATACGTTAGCTGCTATGGAAAGTAAATCGTCAGTATAAAAATGTATATCTACGAGGCAGAGTTGAGAACTACCCGGGGCTAGGCGTCATCCGAGTAACAAGGTGAATTTGCAGCCAGGGCAGCACCACAAAAGCGGACATAAATTTGCTAGATTAAGAAGTACTATTTACATAATTCTGAATCCGAGCCCCATGCCAACAGATATGTAACCTAACACTAAATCAACGTCTTTAATACATCAAGCGTTAAACCCGGCTTGTTCGACGCGGACTTAGGAATCAATAAATAAGGGGTTACCTTATAAATCTAACCACTTGAGATTACTCCAAAGTCCAACCAGGATATATTCTCCTATGTTATTATCTAACGTCATTAACTCTATTAGCTCATGACAGTGTTCGTTTCCAATTGAGACCTACAAGATGGCCATTCAAATACTTAGGTAACTTAATATTCGTTTTCCCAACCATATTTCTTTAACATCTAGTTAAAAACGTAACATGTAGTTGCAGGAAAATATTAAAATAGGTTTACCTACTCATTACCTAAGTGAGATATTGCTTAGAGGCGAGGTTTATATCTGGCTTGAAGAGGCGTAGGCTTGTACCCATTGCTAAGCTCTGTGGTTTCTGCTTTTAGCAAACGAAGTTCCCTTCCGTCAAGAAAACGAATGCCTTGTTATATAGGTACTAACTCGTGACTTATTAACCGGTTACCTATTAACGTTGCTAGCCTATTGTCCCGCTACCGTGGGCTTAGTCGTGTCGACATGCATCACTTATACCATTGACGCACCTGTTATGGAATTGTTCATATCAATAGTTAGCTACGTACATACATACCTATACACTTAGGTATGCACGCAACGCTCACTTCCAGGCCCAGCCCTTATAGAACATCCAATTGTGCTTAGCTGTCCCAAATCTTGCTTCCCTCGAACGCCGCGCTGGATTTGCGAAGGAGTGAATGAGTTCGAAAAACGTATAAATGCTACACAAGAGCCTCCCATATGTCTATATCAGGTATCAGAACAGGATCCTATCCATTCACATTTGCCGCTGCATCGATGTAGACCGGATAGTGGTTCGTTGCGTTTAGCCTAGTGCATTCAAGTACTCACTACGGCAGCTCAAGAAATCGTAACACAATAATTACCTGATCCAAATAGTCCATTATCTAGAATAGTCCGTCATCGTCTCCAACATTACTAACATGCTTTCCGAGTTGTAAATCTACTGAAAAGTGCCCCTGATCTTGGCGTAAAGTTCGGTATCGAAGAAGTTGTAGTCCGCGTCGAGCTCGCAAAACTCGTGTTGTCTTAGCAGGCGTTCGGCAGTGGGGCGGTCCCTGGGATCACTGTGACCTTGTCAGTTAATCATCTGGGGGTATTTGTAGATGGGAAGCACATACACTGTAAAACAGTCCAGCATAAATCCCAGGGCATATGGACTGATCGCCCCGCGCACATCGTCTGCAATCGGTGGCGTTTCGCCATTTGCAATTTTGTAAATCGCGCCGACAGCTTCCTCCTTGCTCCAGGGTCTTCTGCCAGCGAACATCTCCAAGACCACACATCCCAAGCTCCAAATATCCACTTTCGCGCTGTAACCTTCGCCTTGGGATCGGATCACTTCGGGAGCCATCCAGAATACTGACCCTTGCATCGAATTAGTCTTGTCGTTACCATAAATGTTGTCCGTCTTCTTGCTTATTCCGAAATCGGAAATTTTGCACGTCCCATCCACGTCTAGCAGAATATTATCGGCCTTCAAGTCCCGATGTAAGATACCTTCCCGGTGTAGATAGGCTAGACCGGAGAGTGCCTGTCGCGTTAATGAGCTCACTACCGGTTCCTCGAACTTCCCGTGCTTGCGCAGACAGGACCCAATGCTACCACCAGAAATGTACTCCAGAAAGATGCTGATGCTCGTCTCCTTCCTCTCGCAGCCAAGATACTGTACAATATTCACATGATCCAAGTTCTGCATCGTGTCTATTTCCTGGTCTAGGGCTTTTAGTAGCTCCTTCATCTTGTTCTTATCACCGGCCGCGGCTTTCGGGTTGACTTCAACCTCTTTGACGGCTAAGAATTCACCTGTCGTTGCGTTCATGCCGAGATATACACGTCCGTATGTTCCTTTGCCGATGAGCTCACCCTTGAACCACCGGAAAGTAGTCTGCCGCTTCGGTAGGACGTCTTGGGGAATCTGTGGTACAATCATCGAGCCGCGTTCAGGACGTATTTGTACGACATTAGCGCCAAACATCTTCGTGCTTTTCCGCCGCTGGATCATCGACGATGCTCCAGCACCAGCACCGGCCGAGGAGGTAGTATAACGCTTGTTCGCTTCGTGTGCGCCTCGTGCTACCTCTCGAATAGATTTCATTCGGCCAAGTCCGCTAGAACGCTGTATGTTCCGTGTTGCGACCGAGGCAATTGAAGGAGGACGTTCAAGTGCTTTTAAAGTAGACTCGTCTGAGCCTAAAGTATCGCTCTCATTGTACACCGAAGACTTTGTAGTACCGGTTTCAGCAGCAGGCGCCAGAGGGTTGACACCCAATGTGGACGGACCTGCTTTACTGATCCCACCGGGAAATTCCTCTTGCTCGGGTATAGGCGACACAGGAAGCTCATTCTCATCAAGTACAGGCTGATCAAGATCAAGTTCGGGGAAGAAAGCATCAAGATTGCTAAGCAAAGCCTCGGGGGGTGGACGATTGGCCCATACGCCACGGTCAACGAATGATTTCCGGCGGTTGAGCTTACTATCATCGGACTGCCATTGTTCCGAACCAGGCGTAGCGGGAGTACGACGATGGGAGTCTCGTCCGCTTCGGATACTCTCCTCGTCATCTTCTAAATCGGGCGTGTTAGAAGTACCTGGTGAGTTAAACGATACCGATAGACTCTTCTTAGACCTCGAAGTCTTAACCCTCAAGTTTGGCTTTTTGCTATCGCTGGACTCCGAATCGCTGTCAAGTACGCTTGTCTCATTACGGCTCGGTTGCTTGCGCACTGCTTTCTTCGAGGGTTGTCTTCCTCTCATCGGAATAGCAAATAGACCATCATCGGAGTCATCGTCACCTGAGTCATCATCCAACGGTTTGGTAGACACTGATGGAGCCGAAAACTGTACGTCCGTCTCGGTAAAGTCCACATTGGGTCCGTAGGATTTGGGTCGGTTGGCCGGGGGATTTCCTGGCCCGGCGGTGGCTCCTGGGACGGGATGGGCCGTACTCGGGCTTAGGTCGCCGGGGGACGGGGCTCGTCGTGCTATGTCACGCATTTTAGTAATCGGATCAAGCTGAGATTTGCCCCGGTTGCCAAGGATTGGGGTGCCACCAGGCGAGTAGTCTGGGACGACGAATGGTATATCACCACGGCTCCATGTTAGGGAGCCGGGCGAACCAGACCTCGACCGAGAACTACTGCGACCTGAGGCGGCCATGCCAAAATCAATGCTTGCCATTGCTCCCTTACCTCTTTGTTCTACCAAGTCCGTCCCAACTGCAGGCGCAGAAGTATTCCGGGGGGGCGATACCGGGCGCTGTTGTAGCGGTATCGTTGACGGCCGAGCCAGTCGGCCCCAAGCACTTCCCATGTTAATCAAGGCACCGAGGGCCGATCCTGCTGGCGGAGAAGGGGGCCCTGGGGATGGGTGTCCTGTCGACGGTCTCTGGCACTGTTCTGGGCTCGTTTCGCTCTTTGAAGTGGTAGGCCGCCTGGGAGTAGGGAATCCATCTAGACTGCCCTGTGACAGCCGCACATTGTGGCCGGTTTTCCTGCTCAAAGAATTTGCCTTGATTAGTGTGGCAGTCTCTACACCTGGAGGCGCCGGCGCTTTTCTCTGTGGGAAGAGGTCTGGCTTTTTCTCCTCGAACGGAGAGACACGCGGGTGGTCAAAGTCTACATTCCTACCGACGATTCCTGTTTGGGGAGAGTTTTCTTGTGGGGATGATTCCTTCAGGACTTGCCTTCGTTTAGCAAGATATGCAGCTTGCTGCTTTTCGACTTCAGCACGATATTCGCTAGCTTTGGCTGCTAATTCTGGATCATTTGGTTTCGAACCAGTGGAAATGGTATTAGTTCTCGAGGAGGGGGGCGATGAACTAGATCTCGTACGGCCGTTGAGGTGAGCGTAAGCGTCTTCGTTTATGTTAGAACCGGGTGTTAGTTGACCCGCCGCTGGAACCTCCGTGGGAATATTGCGGCTACCTTCTCTAGACCTGTTCAATTTGACGAAAAATTTTAGGGAGCCGTTTGCATCGCCCTTGTTGCGCTTATGAATCCATAAGCTTTGGTCTTCTAGTGCTTCATCATGTGTTTCTCGTCCTAGCTCTGTTAAAAAGATTTCGAACCCCTTCGGATCCGAAAGCCCAAGACTTATACAGATACTAGCACGCAAATCGGCAGCAGTATCACAATCAGTAACGTCGCACAATCGGTAATTCCATCCATCTAGCGTTACAAGCACAAATACTCGGGGGCCATTTTTACTGCGCCTGAACGTCGGGGCGGAATCTTGAACTGCTTCCGGCGGAGGAGTGCCAAACCGAGACCTTAGTAGATGGGGGCTAGTAGGCGAATCTGCATCGTCTGGGGAAGGGAACGAGCCATCTTCTTTTTGCCTATTTCTTCGCTTCAAGAAGCCCAAAAAGCTCTTGTTGTCCTTCGCAGAAGATGGTTCCGCCGAAGCAGGCCTGTCACTAGACTCCGCATGCTTCCCATCAGTATTGTAACGTCGATCATTACGACTGGAGTGAATCATGTCCTCGATTCCACTCATACCATTTCGCCACATCTGACCGACCTCGGGAGACACACCAGAGCCATATCTCGCCGCATTCGAAGAAAGCGAATCGGTACTATTTCGGGATTTGTGATGAAATCTGGACGACGGCGATAGACTACCTGATGAGGGTTGCTGTAAAAAT